AATATTTTATTTGAACAATTCTGTTACTATAAATTTTAGTGTTCAATATTGTTATGATTCTTTTATGATTTTTTTTTTTTTTTTGTGTTGATGCTTATTAATACTATATATAAGTAATTAGCATATAAGTCTCACCATACTATGGATAAAAATAATAATATTGAGAATGTTGATGTGATGAAGAATTATATAATAAAAAGAATTTTATAATATATTATAACATGTTTTGTAAGAAATTTATAAATGATAAGAATTGAAATTATTGAAAGTTTGTAAGGATGTATTCAATTTAGAATTTCAATAACTTTTGTAGACTCTTTACAATAAAAAAAGTTGATAAAAATTTATGAATGTGTTTTATATAGACTTGTATAGAGTCTTACATAGTTTTAAAAAATTTGAACAACTCTATGAACGTCAATAAAAATTTATTAAAATTTATCATTTTAAAAGTCTACAAAAATTATGATTGAATCTCCTAAAGTTTTGGATTAGGTATTTAGATATTTAAATTACCTTAAAAAAAAAAAAAAAGGGAGATATCGAGGGTCGTGATTGAAAAGTCATTTGGCGTTACAATAGACCTTCAAGACTTCAACCCACGAAAAGTCACCTGATTTTGGTGGTGGAGCTTCATTCCCTACAAAATAAAGCATTGTATTAATTATATGAATAAATCTTGAGTGAGACACTGAAATCATTTATGGGGACGTGTAATTGATTTTAACCTAAATTTATTTCAATACTTTTTAACTAGTTTGGTTGGTATAAGTCACGGTCTATTCGCATTCCTTAAAAGAAGTAGAAGTTCAAAATTTCTTTTAATATGAAAAAAAAAAAAATCAATATGACCAGCATTTTACCTCTTAATTAGGTCGATACTAACGAATAGTATGGTACAGACTTAAATGTATCTTGTAGTCTAACAAAAAAGACGACGATATACAAAAAAAAAAAAAAAACACTAAAAGTCACCCGATTTTGGTGACTAGGGAAACTCTGCATCCACTACTTGAGGATGTGCAGTAGGTAGTCGGAGAGTAAACCAGCCTAGCTAACCAACATAAACCAAGATGATCAATAGACCACTCTCGATGGGAGTAGAACTTGTAACTTTATGGTTGCCAAATCAATAGACTAACTTGACAAGAGTTACATTGGCTCCACAAAGTAAAGCATTTTTTTTAGATGACGAGGGAAACCCTGCCGCCACTAGCTACTTGATGGTGTGCAATGGGTAGACTCCTAGCTAGCTGGTAAACGACCACAAGCTAAGGAGCTAAACCAACCTAGCTAATCAGTTAAAAAAAAAAAAAAAAAAAAAAAAAAAAAAACACCAATAGACGTCGAATTTGTAACATTATGATTACCAAATCAACAGTCGGACCAACTTAGCTAGGGTCACTCCAAAAAATAAAGCTTTTGATTATTCATGTAGATATGCATGTAAATTAACAAAGTTAGAATGTTACCCGGGGCTTCTGGTGGAGATCCAATCAAAGTATAATTGAAGAAACGTTCAGTCTCAAAGCGAAAATTGCAGCTAGGCCTTACAACTCTCCCCCCTTTCTTGCCAGTGCATGAGCCACATCCATTTAAATCAGCAAAAGCAGAAACCAAGCAATCAGAGCAAGCTTGAGCAGACAAGTCAGGGGAGCACTGTACTGCACAGCTGCATATATGGTCTGGATGGGCGGTCCAGATGCATTGGCCGCCGCAAACTTCCGTAAGGGGAAACCATTTGCAGCACGATCTCGTAGACTCTCCAGCAATTTTTGTAAATCTTTATTGAACTGTTCTGGGCCCGAGGAATTTTCTGGATTCCACAAGTACATCTCAGGAAGCCTTGACCAAGAACCTATGGTGGAAACGTTGGAGTAATGGATCATGCACTCGTCGTACCCTCCGAATCCCTCCTTCTGATTGGGACACGACTGCACCGTCTTCCGACGAGCATCCTCAACGCAACTGCGACATATGTCCGGCTTGACGTCACCTCTGCACAGCGCGACGGCGCTCACCCTGTCGGGATTATCGCCCATGGAAGCATTGCGGAATCCATATTGGTTGAGGTTAGACGAGAGGGACGAAAGAACTGTGTTAAGGTTGGTCTGGTATATGCTGTTTTGTGTGTAATTTCCGCTTTGGCCGCATATCGAGTACCGGAGATCAGGCTGTGCTATTGATAACAGGATGATACTTGAAAAGTATAGGAAGACCACACATTTCTGGAAATCCATGGCTTTGATCAAACTCAGAGAAAATATATGAGATCTTGCTCACAGACGATCGAGCCGGATAAAAGTTTAAACTGGACATGGTTTCAAACACGTACGTACGTGAATATAAAACCCAGTTTTTCTTGGTTTAGCCGTTTAGGTAAACTGATGACAATGACCGGAGTTAAGACTTTTTTTTTTTTTTGAAACCGAGTTAAAAGACTTATTATGCCTCATTGCCTCGTATCACAACGGAAAAGAAGAAGCAGAAGAACGGAAAAGTCCTAGAAAAAAAAAACAAAGAAAAAGTCAAGTCAAATGTTCATTTATTCCAAAATGTGAACGGAAAGCTGCGTGTAACCTGTCTATTAATGGAAGCTTGACTTGTTTGCATGATTTGGGTTTTGTCAAAGAAGAGTTTAAATGTGCAACTCGGGTCAAATATAGGATAGTTTTTTTGGTTGGTGTACTCAGAGTTTCTACCGTCCGACACAGAGGTAAAATTGGTTGATTTATAATATTATTGTAATACTTATATGTGAAATTGTGATACTATCTAAGGTAAATTGATTGTTACTAATTATAAATATTTTTTTAAACATTAATTATAAATATTTTAATACTTATAACTGAAATTGTGATATATACTTCTCCTAAATACTGCACATTAAATCATTGAGCTAAGTCCTGCAGGTAAATTGTGATATATACAGTATACTTACAAAGTTACAAGTACATCCAGTTACTCCAACTGAAAACTGAAAGATCGTTATGTCAATAATTACTCCAACCACGTACTCATGCAAAACCTATAAATTTTAATTTGGGAAAATAGCGAGTTTGGTCCCTGAGTTATAATGGTAGTGACGACTCAGTCCCTGAGTTATGACCGTCCCTATTTTTAGTCCCTTAGTTATGAGCGAAGTGGCGCATTTGGTCCCCGACCGTTAAAACTGACGGAAAATTTAAAAAATATTTAAAATTTTAGGGGTAAAGTCGAAAATTCACATTTTATTCACTTTCTTATATTGAAACCTCTTTTGCAACATTATTTTCAACTTCCTAGCATTCTATTTCAAGGTTCTTCAATTCCAAAAGCAATTCAATAATCTTCATATAACTTGTTAGTAACTTGAGTCTCGTATAAAAAATCTGTGACTCAGTACAAACAAGAGAACACTTGGTCATTGTCTTTAAGCATGTAAAACACACCATTCCACAAGTTTTTGATTTTCCTTATTAAACATAATGGTAATCAAACCATAACTTTTGAAATAAAAGAAGATATCAAATTTCTTAGGTTGTTTTTATGACAAATTCACCAAGGAAATAACTTGAGATTTTTAGTACGTAAAATTCTTTCGTAGGTTCTGCAGTAACTTAACCAAGAATCGTATATCCTGACAATATATAAAAATTATATATATATATATATATATATATATATATATATATATATATATATATATATATATATATATATATATATATATATATATATATATATATTCATCACCTCCTCTGTGTTCTTAAAAACCAGAGTAATGAATGAAAAACCTAAGACTCAGTTATGAAAATTCAAAAAACTAATACATATGAAGAAAAAAATTACATATTAAAAATCTCAAGTTATACCGTTGGTTAATTTCTCATAAAAGCAACTTGGGAAATTTGACATCATTTTGTATCTCAAAAGTTCTGGTTTGATTACATTTGTTGCTTGGTAAAGAAAATTGAAAATTGATAAGATAGTGTGTTTCACACGTCTGAAGACAATGATCAAGTGTTTCTTAGTTTGTGCTAAGTCTTAAGTTTGTTATACGAGAGTCATGTTCCTAACGAGTCATACTAAAGTTATTAAAATATTTTTAGAACTGAACAATCTTGAAATAAGAGGCTAAGAAGTGAAAAATAATGTTGTGAAAGTGGTTTTGATATAAGGAGAATAAAATATGAATTTCCTACTTTACTCCTCAAATTTTAAATATTTTTTAATTTTTCTGTCAATTTTAACGGTCGGGGACCAAATGCACTACTTCGTTCATAACTGAGGGACTAAAAATGGATACGATCATAACTTAAGGACTGAATCGAAACTTGGGTATAACTCAGGGACTAAAGATGCAATTTTCCCTTTTAATTTCTATCATTATTTAGGGTTTATGACTTTCTCTAAGCTCTTCATTAGCACCGAAATTATCAATGATTAAGATTAATATAATGTTGATGGGAGTGTGAAAGTCTAACCGGGTGAAGTAGTGATAGGAGAGTTGAGTGAATTTGTGGATTTTGTTATAAGATTGGTGTGACAACTAGATTTGCGATTAAACTATGAGCAATTATTTTGATTTACTTGTTAGCTGGAATAGATATTTTTGGATAATTGAACTTAAAGTTAATCTACCCAAATTGATAGACCAAATCAATCCTAACTTTTTATTTGAGAGTTGAGCTTGTTATCACTCCATGGATGATATATTGAGCTGACCAATCGAACTAATCAACCAAAAGGGTCTAGGTCACATGGACAATATCAACATAAATTAAATACTTAAAAATTTCAATAATTTACCAACATTTTTTTTTCATAAATAATTTTGATTTCTCACGTAGTCATATTAATTAGTAAACAGCATCCGTAATCAGTAAAAGATTAATAACAAGAAATCTAACAATATCACTGATCTAAAAAAATTGATTATTAACTTTTAACAGAACTACAATTAAAGCCATAAAAAGAAGCAGAGCAGCAGAAAAGTGAGGCAGTTTGCAAGATAGAGAAATCTAAAAGAGATGGATACAAAAGATATACCTCTCAACAACTTCAAACAAAACAAGCCACTACACTATAACAATAATATTTACATCTCTTCTTCATCCAAGAACATATAAATGTTATGTAGCTACTTTTGTACTATTAAAACATGTACCTAAGATGATGTTCTGATCTCTTGGTACCTCAGAACTAAACACAATCTACCACAAACATCCATTCCCAGATTTAATATCCTCTCTTTCACTTCCTGCTCTCAAGGGTATCTACATCATGTGCAGGAGATTCTGGACGATTTCAGACATTGGTGGCCTGAATTCTGGCTCCGGCTGCCAATTCAAACAGACAATATTAAAACATAAAACAAAAGCTCTTGAAAGCATTCAGTTTTCGTAAATATACAAGAGGAAAAATAACACTGACCTGGATGCACAATGAAATTATGTCAGCAAACCGAGATAAAGACTTGGATGGATATGCACCAGCTAGAGAAGGATCAACCATTCTTGATAATGCATCTATGTCGTGAAGTTGTGAGACAGCCCATCTAACCAGAAATTGTTCACCTCGAGGCCGTGACCTAGAATTTGAGTTTTTGCAGTTTGTTAAGAGTCCCACAATGATAAAATAAGAGAGAACATATGGGTTTATAAGATCATGAGTTAGACTGGCTAATTGGTTGGATTCAATCTTCTTAGTGTGGTTACCTGTCATAAGATTTCCGCCCTGTGAGTAGCTCTAACAAAACTACTCCGAAGCTGTAAACATCGCTCTGATAAGTATAGCTTCCAAGTTCAAGTTCTGGTGCACCATAACCACAACGTTGCAGCTGATACATAATTTAATTGAAGCTAGCAACATTTCTCAAAAAACAAGGAAAATGGAGGAATCATTTTTTTCAAAAAATCTAATTATGCATTACCATAGCCATGGACTTAGATGGCACAAGAGTAGCCAGACTGCAGTCTGAAACGTGTACGGTGAGCTCCTTGTCCAAAAGGACATTAGCAGATCGAAAATTCCGGTGCAAAACTGGTGGGTGACAGACCTCATGCATATACCTTTGTTGTGAAACATCAAAGATTCAGATTCTGAATAATAACAGCTTAAAAATGGTGTCTTTAAGATATATATAATGGAAGAACATAGGTTCTATACTATATTATACTTACTCTAGAGCTCTGGCAGCTTGAAGTGCAATGCGTACTCGAACATTCCATGAAAGTTGTCTATGCATCTCCTCATCTACATGCAATGCCTCATAAAGGGTGCCATTATTGTAGTACTCATATACTAGTAGCCGCTGCCCATGTTCTACACAGTAACCCACGAGTCTAACAATGCTTTCATGTTCAAGTCTCGACATTGTGGAGATCAGCTGAACAAAATCTTGATCACTTTGACAACTTGCCAAAGCTGTATCCAACTTCTTGACCGCCAAGAGCTTTAAAAAAAAAAAAAAAAAAAAACATCATTAAAAATGGATTAGAGTTTCATTGCATTCTGCATGCATCAAAGCCCTTTGCATATTTATGTTGAGCATATAACCATTAATGTGCAATTCAACTATCAGCTTAGGCTTTTAGTTGAGATGGAGCACATGCTTTAATTTGGTATCAGAGCTAGACCAAAGGTTACTATGTCACCCGATAAGCGACTAGGGTCCACGTGTTGCTTGGAACCCACCGCACACGTGAGGGGGCGTGTTGAGCATATAACCATTAATATGCAATCCAACTATCAGCTTAGGCTTTTAGTTGAGATGAACCACATGCTTCCTTTATTTATAAAAGGTGAAGGTGCCAGACTCATACGTACCTTTCCACCAGGGAGTTCGGCTTTGAACACTCTGCCAAGCATGCCTCCTCCGATAAGATTATCCTGAGAAAAGCTGTTTGTATATTGCTGGAGAGCAGCAACAGTGTAGCACTTTTCAGAGCTCAAGTTCATGCAAGCAAGCTTGCGTGTGGTTATTGGAGGCAAATTTGCATCTAGAATCATCCGTTCAGCAGGGAGAGTTAAGAAAGGAGGTGGGGGTGGCGGGAGGATATCCACGGCTGCCATATCCAACTGATGATCGTCATCCTTCTCAGACCAAGAAGGCTTTCTCTTTGAATATTTTGTCCATGCAGTTTCTGGCATTGTTACTGAGCTATTATTTCCTTGGTCCTTAGTCACAGGTTTTACAACTGCTCATGACATTGACAAGTGTAGCTGTGTTATTTATTTATCAAGAATGAAAAAGAAGCCATTTTAAACCAGATTCAGCGAGATAAGAAACATTGATTCACCTTTATCTGCTCGGTAATCACGTTTCTGCAAAGATTGGTCATACATGGGGTTTTCCCTGGGTAAATTATATGCACTTATATCATGTCCATTTTGCTCCTTATTGAAACGTTGTCCTTTTTTGCAGTATCGTGACATATAAATGCATAACCCTAGGAGAAGCAGTACAACTATCACCAGTCCTGCAATAACAATCCACCTGGTGCTCCTCGAACCATTATGCTTTTGCCCAATGTGAAGTTGTGCTGAGGGTCCTGAAGCTTCGCTATGCGGTACTAATTGAGGAGGATGAACTCCAGATGGTGATGGGGATGGCGATGGTGATGGAGAAGGTGATGATGCAGGCGGTGAAGGGATGATAGTAGTGTTGAAAGGGTTTCCATCTTTTCTGCAAAACGAAGCAGATCAAAACTAAAATGTAGCCAAAATAGCATAAAACCTTGGATTTAATCCAGCTTGACATGTCAGAATTGAAGCTCATGACCTTTGGCCTGGCTCTGATACCAAATTGAAGCATGTGCTCCATCTCAACTAAAAGCCTAAGCTAATAGTTGGATTGCACATTAATGGTTATATACTCAACAGTCAGAAAAGAGCAAGTTAAATTGATAAAACAGCATGGTTATTGACTGTCACCTGAAGTTTGGTATGTTCTGTAATTTATCGGGTATAGGCCCAGAGAACAGATTGTTCTCTATGTTTCTGTGAATGAATAAGCATGATCAGCTAGAGATGAAATATTGAACTTTGGAGATGATTTCGAGGAACCAAGAGAAGAAAAAAAATAAAATCTTTTCCAATATAAATTGAAACTTTTAGATACGGTTTTCAGGTGTTGGGGATAGAAGAGTACAAATCTGTTAGAGGAAGATCCTGTAAAACATCGAGGAAACCAGACAACTGATTGTTTTGCACGTGCCTGCAAAAGGTCAAGGCAAAGGTTCATAAGTAGAAGGCAAAACCAAAATTCCTAAGTCGATTCTTTATTTAGAAACTAAGGAGAATGAATACATACAAGGTGGTGAGCGATGACAAATTCCCAATTGAAGGAGGAAGTTGACCACTCAAGTTGTTCCCAGACAAATCCCTGCAATATAATTTAAAAGCTCCAATCTCAACTTGTACATGAGAGAGTAAACATAAAAACAAAGAAGAAAACCAGAATGCTTACAAATTTATCACATATTTAAGCTGTTGAAAAGCATCCGGTATCGCTCCAGTCAAATGGTTGTTGCTCAGTGAACTACAGGGAGCGTTAGAGTAAAACCAAAATAAAATAACAAAAATCTTTAAAAACCACACTAAACGAAAATGTGAGGGTGGAAAAGAAAGAGCATACAAGTCAGATAGTTGGCCTAACGTGGATAGTGTATCTGGAATGCTCCCTGTGAACTGGTTACCTGAAAGAAAACTATAAACAAAAAAAAAAAAAAAAAAAAAAAAAAGATTTATGCTTGTAGAAAACGGTGGCCTGCAGCTTAGTTGATGTTACAACTTTGGTACATACAAGGTTTTTACAGTACTAGGTAAATTGGATGGTATGCTGCCTCCAATGTGGTTGTTGCTGAAATCTCTGAATCAATAACAAACAAAAACATTAATAAAATGAGCAGTTTTACACAGTACACTAGCAGGTTTTAGACTAACTTTTCAGAATCATGAATCATGATAACTCGGGGGGAACGGGGAACCCATCCCACTAATAAAGTTTAAGCAATTACATTTGTATGATCGAAGCAAAACTTCCCAAGTCCTCGCTCAGCTCACCACCCAAATTCGAATCATTAAGAACACTGTCCATCAGAATAACATCGATAACATCAGAAACTAACTCATAAACCCTGCAATCACAAGCAACTAAAGCGAGAACATTCTTACATCCCAGTTATATTGGCGTTGACACAGAGCACACCTTGCCAATGCTCCTCGCAGGGATCTCCTCCAAATGGAACCCACCCAGGAAGCAGAGGGAAGCCCAAACTGGCATATATACTATTAATAGCATAAACTGAAGAACAAGAATACAACAAAAGTAAATTAAGATCCCATCAATAAGGTCACTGTGTAGAAAACAAGATCTGAATTTCGCATACAAACAACAGGAAAGCACAAAATAGCTATAACTTAGCAATAAAGAATGGAAAATGTATATATGAGAAAAATAAAATAAAAACAAAACACCAATAAAATGCTCTTAAAGTCTTACCATCTCTAGGGTCTGTAAATCCCCAGCAAGTTGAAGCTGCAAAAATGGCCAAAACCATGAAATCTCTCATTCTCATACAAATTTCACTCTTCGCCCTACCCATCATCAGCGATGGCAACCTCGGACACTCCAAAATCCCTTCTTCCCCTCTCCCTGTCCTTTTATCTCTGCAAGCCCACAACTTTATCACAGAAACCTCCTTAAAACCCTAAAAGCATATGAATTTTCATCACAAATAATGAAATCTGAAAGCAAACTCAGCTAAACGACATTCCCAGAATTCGATTCTCTGAGCAGAACAAAGAAAAAAAAAACGGAGAAGACTGTTCATAGCACCAAGGTAAAGTTATTCAGTCAAACTAACAGGACCCATCATTGAGAATTCAAAAAGTTTCAAAAACCCCTCACATCTTTCGATACAAAGAATACGGAGTGCAGTATTCACCAAACCCACCAAAGGAACAACAGCTCCCACACACATTATACTGAAAAAAGTTTTGAGCTTTGATTGATACAACATAAATTAAAGTAGTTTAGATAATAAATCAAAAAAGAATTCAAGTAATTCAAGTGAAATTATGAAAAAGAAAAATCATGGAAAGAAGAGCCAAACGCATACGAGTCTGGGATTATGGGCTATGTCTGATTGTCTGTACGCAACGATGAGAACAGTGAGGTATAAGCTCGACGACTTCTTCCTTGTTATTGTGGAGGGAGACGAAGAGCTTGTAGCTGACTTTAATCCTTCGACTCAAGAAACCAGAATAGAATAGATTTTGTAACGAACGTTTTTAGTTTTTAGGTGTTTGAAATTTTTGCACAAATTTTGATTTGAAAGAGTATTAGTGTACCGTTGGGAGTCGGCGCCATTGGTATACTTTGTGCAAGCCGCACAAAAGTGTAACGAAAAGCTATATACGCCATTGCTGGCATGCTGATGTGTACACCTTTTTTGTAATAAATTTAAATTTTTAAAAAAGAAAGACTAAAGATTAAGAAAAAATAGGTTAATGATTAATGAATTTACTCCACATGACAAGCTCTCCTTCTTTATTATCTTGAACTTGTGACTTTTTATTTAGAAGAGTTACAGTTATGTCGTTTGACCACAAGACCTTTGATAAATAAAATTTTCTATTAAAAATTATGATCAATAATTCTTTTTTTAAAGTATGTTTTAAAAAATAAAGAATGAAATAAATATAAATATAATCAAAATGTCTAAACACAAAGTATATTATTGGAATGTTGTAATATTTATGATCACAAATTATGTTATTTAATATAGGATTTTACCCGTAATTTAGTATTTTAAAAATAGAGATGGAATTCCAACATATTACATAACTGCAAAATGAATTCAAAAATCATGTATTAAATTTTTTAAATCATGTATTAAATCAAGAATGAGACAAGGTAGGGAGGGTAATACTCGACGGGGAGTAAAACCATTTCCTCACAATCAATTACATTTCATAATTTTTATTAATACATTATTTATAATATATTATAAAAAAATTTGGAATATATGATATATTTTTAGGTATACATGTATAACACTTAGAATTGTTAATTATATATATATATACACGGTGAAACATGTAGCAAATAGATGAAAATTCTTCAGTAAAAAAACTCTGATCTATATATATACATACACACGTTGAAATAAAATAACACTTAAAATAGCACAACATCATCATACATATCTAGATGTAAATTTCCTTCGATAAATAGTGTCATTATTCTTCATAGTGGAAGGAGATATTTTTTTATATTTATGAGTCTTTTAACTTGGGAATAAATTTTATTCATTCTCAATCACTCGAAAAAAATCATTATATCCGTTAGATTTACTTTCCTTACTATCATGGAATTAGATTTCTTTTTTGGAAACAAGGAATTAAATTTCTAGTTGACTCAAACTTTCTTAAATGAAATATTACACCAACACCTGAGAATTATTTTTTCACCTCTTAAATTCTCTATAAAATTTTATCTTGACTATCAAACGCCCTCTAAATTCAAATTGTTAGGTTAATGCAAGTAATCAAGCGAGCACGTATTCCCATTCTAAATTTGAACTCATTAAACATTATATTATGAGTCTAATAAGTATGAAAAATCAGCTAATATAAGACAAAAAATGTGTCTACAAAAAGTTTATAGAGAAAGTTGAAAAGTTTGGAGGGTGTGGGTTAGATTTCAACTATTTATATTTGTAAAAGAAAAGTCTACAGAAATCATATTTTGATAGAATCTATAAAAGTTAGTAAGTTTTTAAAACAGTAGACTTTTAAAGACTACAAAAATTTGATTTGAATACTATTATACTTTTAAAATGCTTTAAAAGTAAGAATCCAATACCAATATACTTTTAAAGAGTATTTAAAAGTCTAAGGATGTGTTTGGAAACTCGGAAAATGATTTCTGGAAATCATTTTCCGGGTTTTTGGTGTTTGCCTAAACTTGAAAAATCCAGTCAACGGAATTCATTTTCCGTTGACTACAAAAATGTGCTCAATTTGGCGGAAAATGACTTTCGCCAAAATTTGGCGGATGTCATTTTCCGCCATTTGCTATTTCATTTTTTTTTAATATAGTTTCTGGCAGAATTGAGTTCCGCCGGAAACCATAATTATTATTATTTTTTTTTTAGTTTTAAACATTTAAAATGTATTTTTTTATTCTAAATAAAATAATTAAAATATTTAATTATATCATTCTACTCATTTTCCAGAAAATGAACCAAACACTGAAAAAGGAAAATATTTTCCGGAAAATGACTCATTTTCTAGAAACCATTTTCCAGAAGTGATTTTCCTGCTTTCTAAATGGACCCTAAATAGAATACCACCAAATTTTTAATGTCGTTACAAGTTTATAAAAGTATTGATTAAATACACCCCTTAATCAAATTCAGATAGAATTGTTATTGTTATCCTTAATAAAATAAAATAGCTCAGCTGCTGAGATAACATTTTACCCAAAAACCACCGTTATATGTCTTTATCCCATTGCACAAGTTTGAATACTTAATATGCGTTTAGTTGGAAGATGAGACAAAATTGTTCCATGGTGCAACCAAAATCACAGCTCATATACAGCCCCCATCCATCCTTTCATTACGCACATTGACAAACGTGTAATTAGGACATCCTTTCTACATAAAACAATGCTAATTAAAATTGGTCACACTTGTGTAAGACTATCTCATAGATTTTTTGTGAGAATAATCGAGTTAGGACAGATCAATATGCAAATGTAATATTTATACTAGCAAATGTATGCAATACTAAATCAAGAATGAAATATTTGTTACTTTGATTATCTATTGAGACAGTTTCACACAAGTTTTTGCCAATTAAAATTAACATTAATCAACTAACTCTAATGATTTTTTGTTTAATAGTCATTATATTGCAGATTCAAGGCAAGAAACTTCATTTGTCATTGTCACTCATTATTAGTCATTATTTCATATAACCTGAATCTCAGATTCGTCTTGTCATTTTGTAGCCAACAATTAAGGTTACAACTATGTAATGAAGTTATTATTAGCATGTATCTTAATGGCTATTTTTAATTTGCATACAAAAGAATGAAAATATCCAAAAGGCTCCAACTTCAATTTCATGCTATGAAAACAATTAGATATCTCGTTTAATTAAAATAAACATGTGTTCAACCAAATATATTCATATTAAGACAAATTTTTTCTAGTAGACTAAAAGTCTTTGATTATCTTATAAAGAAATACGTGAACCTGTTTTTTTACATTAACCTTGTTAGTATTGCACATAGTGACATAAATTTGTTTAGACCTTTTATCTCCTTATATCCACAGTTCCACACACAAAAACTACATCATACATAGTAAGAATACCGAAAATGTTGTAAATTTAGGGAAAGTAATATATATATATATATATATATATATATATATATATATATATATATATATATATATATAGTGTGTGTGTGTGTGAGAGAGAACTACCCTAGTACTAATGCATGTCAGGAAGTAAGTGGAAGAAATAAAAATATATGCAATTGAACTCGAGGGAGTATTTTGCACTATTGGACTCATATTTGTAGTATACATTTATTGAGTTATTTTTTCCTTTGAAATTTTAGAATTTTAGAATGAAATAATTCTAAAAACCTAATACTTTAATACCATGACATTGTCACATCAATATGGGTATTTTTTGCACTAATTTAAAATTGTATGTGTGTGTGTATATGTATGTATGTATGTATATATATATATATATATATATATATATATATATATATATATATATATATATATAGTTGTTTTAATTACACAAATACATTTAAATGTAATATAATGCATATACATGCAACAATTACTTGGATAATAAATGCTGGATTAATAATAATATGGTAACTTATGCTTGTCAACTGCACCTTTGAAAATTACGTACATAAATAAAAAATAAAAGAAGTGCAAGTATTGGTGTTAGTACGTACGTAAATCAAACAAAGCTTCAAATTTACAGTTTTTGTTTGCAATGTCCACAAGAATGGGTCACGGATTAAACAATTGATGTATGTTGGAAGCATATATATATATATATATATATATATATATATATATATATATATATATATATATATATATATATATATATATATATATATATATATATATATATATATATATATATATATATATATATATATATATATATATATATATATATATATATATATATATATATATATCCACTGCTTGGAGGCTTGATTGGATTAATGATTATTATAAAAGTTAACCAAACATTGATATAATTAATAATATTTAGTATAACCAGACATATTCATGTTTAGCTTGTATCAAATATATATCATCATCATAGAGATTAATCTATAAATGTGAAGAAAAAAAAATTGAATAAGTTTTAGATAGTTTAATCTGTACTATCTACTAGTAACAAAACCTCAATTTTAGAGAAGAAAACGAAATAAATAAGGTTTGAAGATGTTAAATTTTTATGTGTAAACTGATACGTTACAATTCAAAATTAAGATATGATAAGGAGAATGATTAGGGGGAATGCAATTGTTCAAAATTCGTTATCCTTGACGTTGCATGATTCAACTGGTTTGAGTGCAAGCCACATGAAACATAACCAAGTTACTTTAAGTCTTCAACAACGTAACATCGGCTAAATAAGGATTAAGGAGAAATGCAATTCAAAATGACCGTCTATAAATTAAGTTGGGGGGAATTCAAGTGTACACAATTCCTTCTCTAGTTCTCCTCAAAGTTGCATGACTCAACAAGTTCAAGTCACATGAAACATGACCAAGTTCAACAACGTTATTTGCTTTAATTTAAATAGAAAAAAAAAAAAAAAAGGATTGTATCTATATGTATGCGGGTCTAGGCCTACTTATGATTGGTTGGAAACTGGACAAAGGCTTCATCTTTGAAAATCAGAAAACGGCCCAATACATTAAATTTTAATTGTATAGCCTGTTTGGCAAAATGGGTTCGACCGACTTTTTTTTCAATCATGGTCCACACAAATTGTGTGGACCATATTTTGTATACTGTAAATAAATGTTCATTCAGTATAAAATAATGTACATTCAATACAAAAATAATGTACATTGTATTCAAAAGATGTATATTATATTGTATAATATACATCCAGTACAAAAATAATGTACATTTAGTATATTAAAAATATATTTTTTGTTATGGTTCACGTAACATTGTGTGGACCATAGTTTGCCCCCTTTTTGAGTCCATCAAAGTATAAAATGCAAACGCAATATTTATATATATTTTTATTATGCACTTCAGTTATGAACTTATGAACAATTTAAATTAATTTATTTTTTTTGTAGTCTCTTGATTACTAAGACCACAATACATGTTTTATTATAATATATTTTCAAGTAGTAATTATAGACATTTTTGTAAATTAAAATTTGATACCAATATGGCATTTCTTTGCGTGGGTACCCGGATTTCACATATAACCCCTCACTATATGATCAAATTGTGTAATAATTAGAATTGATCGAGCAGTTACTTTAATAACCACGAGATTCCAAATTCCAAAAGTGTTATTTGTTGCACTTACACCTAAACTTTGTGACATGGGGCCGCAAGTGTCCGTTTGCTCTATAAGAAATAATATTGAAAAGGAATAAGGTTCAAATTGGCCACTGAATGTAGCCTGAAAATGCAATTAGGCTACTGAACGAAAAAAAGTGCAATTAGGCCACTGAACACTCCAAAATCGTGCAATTAAACCACTGAACTCTCCAAACGTATGCAATTTCACCGGATAGCAGGTTACCATCAATTTTAGCAGGTTACCTGCTTACGTGGCAGCTGAGTTGGCATTTTTAATAATTTTTAAATAATTTTAATAATTAATTTTAATAATAAATTTTATAAAAAATTGAAAAATAAATAAATAAAAAATAAAATAAAGTCGTTTTTATTCTTTAAAAAAAAACTTAAATAAAAATTTATTATTAAAATTTATTAAAAAATATTTAAAATTTATTAAAAATGACAACTCAGCTGCCACGTAAGCAGATAACCTGCTAAAATTAAGGGTAACCTGCTGTCAGGTGAAATTGCACATTTTTGGAGTGTTCAGTGGCCTAATTGCACTTTTTTTTCGTTCAGTAGCCTAATTGCATTTTCAGGTTACGTTCAGTGGCCAATTTGAACCTTATTCCTATTGAAAATTAGGCTCAAATCATAACCTACGGAGCTATACAAATTTTAAATAAATTAAGCAAGTTACCCCAAAAGAAAAGAATACCATATGAACCAGAGAAGTCAAGTGCTCATTGAGAATATGATGACATTTGCAGGGGAGCTGAGACCCCTAGTTATAATATCTTTGGATTGGAGTAAAAATAGCGAGAAACCAATAAACAACAAGCCCCAAGAATTTCAAACTACACACGTTATTTGTGTATTGAATGTACATTATTTTAATAGTATATAAAATAATATATTTTATACACTCAAATAATATACTTTTAATATATTAAAAATATACTTTTTATTTATGATCGATATGACTCTGTAGATCATGGTGCATGAATAATGATGGTCTGCCATAAATTCCAACCATCCTTTGATCTAATTAATGCTCGGGCCTCCATTCTGGTGGTATAGTCAGATTTGGACTGAAATTAAAGCCCACTACCTCATCAATCAATAAGAAGAAGATGCATTAATATCACTGAGGGGGCGTTTGGTTCACGAAATCTTGGATTACCCCAGGTAATAGGATTATCTCCTGGAAGGTAATGTGAGATTTTGGGAATATAAGATTACCTTGTGTGTTTGGTTTGAATGGTGTAATATAATATTACCTTGTTTGGTTCAGGGTTATATTTTAGATTATATGGATCAATTTACAATAATGTCCTTAGTAATATATATTTATGAATGTATATCAAAGCTTAAATATTAAAAAAAAAACTAAATATATAAATATGCACATATGTATATTTGAATAAATATATATTAATTTCATTATTATTATTATTATTATTATTATTATTATTATTATTATATAAGGATTAATTAACAATTGCAAAGTTGGAATAATTCAAGGTAATCTAAGATTACCTAAAAAAATGGGGGTAATCACATTACCTTGAAACATTACCGCGACATCAGCTTTCAAGTAATATAACATTACCTGGTAATCCCATAACTTGAACCAAACAAGGTAATATAACATTACCAGATCCAGATTACTTAGGTAATATAAGATGACCCGAACTAAACGCCCCCTGAGTGTAATGATATAGATTACGATACCTCTGCCCGCATGGGTAGCTCAACTGGTCATAGAGGTGAAACTTTGGAATAATGACCAGGGATCGAGTCTCACCAGCGGCAGTGTGGGAGCAACCTCTCAAAGTGAGGGGGGCTCCTTGTGCACATTGAGCACCGGTCTAGCCTTTGTGGTTCATGCTCAGTTAAGTCACCATGATTTACATCCTCCCAAATGTTCTATCGGGCCGGGTTGTGGTTCAGCCTTTTGGAATAATCATATATGGTTACAAAATAAAAATGCATGGGTCACTTAATAACTAGCTGGTTGGTTATTGGTTAATCACGATCGCTAATAAAAAATAATCACCCAACTTCTCCGACAACATGTGCTGTCGGAGGAGTACGTACGTTGTTGCAATACGTGACATGTATCATGCATGCATGTTCAATGTGTTCATTCATTCACGTACCCATTCAATTCTGGGCATTTCATCAGAACCAGACTCTGTGTTCCACGCTAATAACTTACCTATTTTCTTTCTTCTTTTTTTTCCTTTCTTTCATGTCATGTACGGCTGCCGGATGGTATGATATTGATTAATGAACTAATTTTTATTGCTTATTTTCTTTAATAAAGTGAATTTGCTTATCAAATAATTAATATTGAGGTTAATTCGAATTTAGTTTAAATCCTACAAAGTTTGATCTTATCTTACTCGAGAAAATACTTGACCTGAATCTAGTTTAAACCCCACAAAATTTGATTCTTACTCGAAGAAAATATTTGACTCGAACTTTTTAAGAGCAAATACCAATTTTGATCTCACAAGTATTAGCAAAATGACAGTTTTGGTTCACATATTTAATTCTTACCAATTTTCATCAACGACTATTGTTTTAGTACCAATTTTCATCCACAACTATTGTTTTAGTACCAAAATTCATCACGCCGAGCACCATTTCATTTAAGACATATCGAAATGTGAAATTATTAATGGTAGTTTCGTGATTTTCAAATAATGATCCCTATTTAAGCATGAATAAAGGGATTTAAGCCCTAAGATCTATCTAAATTCGCATTTTTCCTCCTCAAATTAAGGTAAGATGAGGAGGAGAACTGCGAATTGGGATCGTTCTTAAGGTTTAAATTCATTTATTTATGCTCAAATTAGAATCTTAGGTTGAAATTGACGAAAATGCCTTAAAATTTTTAGATTTCGGGATGTCTTAAATAGATGGGTGACTGACATGATGAATTTTGATACTAAAATAATAGTCGTGGATTAAAATTGGTACTAAAACAATAATTGTGGATGAAAATTGGTAGAAATTAAACATGTGGATCAAAACTGCCATTTTACTAATACTCGTGGAATCAAAATTGGTATTTGCTCAACTTTTTAACATGACATAATTTTATAAAGATTTTGCAACGGAAATTTTATTAACAATAATATGTTTTCCAACCGAAGATACAAATAATGTTATTTTAATGTGATATGTGTAAGATTTTTCTGTATAATTTATATATTATATTAAAAGTCTTAATTAAGTATTGCATGTTGACTAAACTTATTTAAGTAATTTGATTGAATTGAACGACTATAAATTGTTTGTTATTGACCTTACACCGAGATAGTCACTACATGTCAATCTTATTACAAGGTGCTTGACAGATCTACATTTAATTACTTTAAAAGAAAATTGTAAAAAGTGTCCCTCTATAATATGTCAATTATCAATGTCACCCCTGAATTATGAGTGGTGTAAATGTTGCCCCTCAATTATAAAAACGGTGCACATATAGTTCCTCCCGTAGCGAAAATGTGGTTCCCTGTTAGTGTAGGACACCGTTAAGTCGGAGTAAATATGTAATTTAATTGTTTTTTCCTCCCTCAATTCGAAGTACCAACGATGGACAGCGGCGGGGAACCACAGGTCCGTTACAGAAGGAGCTATATGTGCACCATTTTAATAATTGAGGGGCAACATTTACACCACTCATAATTCAAGAGTGACATTGATAATTGACATATTATTGAGGGACATTTTTACAATTTTCCCTTACTTTAATTTATCCTTCTATCATTATATTGGACCCCCAATATGAGACTTTGGAGCAAAAGATTTTATCTTTTATAGGGAAAGTTATTTTTAACGTGGGAATTGAATGTTGAAAAAACGATATGGAGTAACCGACAAACTATATAGTTATGACTCCAAAGTCCATCATTACTGTCTATATACTTTTGAGTCTCTGTTCTCACCATTTCCAAAAAGTCTCCTCCACCGCCATTCTGAGACCCCACTCTCCTCCTCCCACGAGTCTCCACAGATCAGACATGAAGCCTAAAACTACATGACCACTTGAGTTTTTCCATTTCATTTCTCCGTCGAAATGGGTAATTGCTGCGCTAGCACCGCCGTCAAAGGACCGTCGTGTTCTCGTTCTGCGCCAAACTCCAAACAGAGAATTACAGCTCCGCCGCTCACCCACCCGTTGTTGCTGGAGGAGGAGACCGTTAAGGAGGTTCTTTCTGAAACCCCCACCGTTCCCAAGCCTGTGGATTATGGGCCCCACAAACATCCGCCATTCACCCCGGAGCAGGAGAAGCTGCAGCGCCAGAACGACGGGGATATCAAGAAACCCGCCGCCGTGACGGATTTCAACCCCGAGGAGCTCTCGGAGGACTTCTCCGCCTCGGAGATCTGCAGCACTCTCAGCGAGAGTGTTCCCGCCACTACGCCGACCGACAAGATGGATCATGAAAACGGCGTGCGCTACGTCAAGCCGCAGAGGTCGCCGGCGAGGGTCCGGAACCGGGCATTTCCCGGCGAGGTGATCAGAGAGAAATCGGTTGGAAACTCGCCGTCGAGGCGGTTCGAACCGTCGTCTCTCGGCCGAGTCAGATCAGGAACCGGGAGAGATTCTGGTCGCCGGTCCCCTGCCGGCAGGCCAAGGAAAGAAAACTACGAAAACTCTGGACGGAGGTCAGTGTCGCCGGCGACGAGGAGGGAAATCGGAGGAGCAAGAACGGGCTCGGTTCGGAGCCCGTCCGCCAGAAAAACCGGAAAGTCACCGGGTCGGGTAAGATCCGATGTGGGCGACAAGAACCGGAAGTTGAACAAAGACATGAAAGAAAAATGGGAAACGACAAATAGCAACGAATTGCTGGAAAACCCACTTGTATCCCTGGAATGCTTCATTTTCCTTTAGGACTTGTACTGGTTGAACCGTAATTTCAATATAAAACCAGGTACTTTTCAAAGTTCCAGAAATGTTAGATCTTGTTCTAATTGCCTTTCTCTGAGTTCTCAACTTTATGTCATATATCTATTGAATCAAAAGTCAAAGACATCAACTTTAGGAGGGAAAATATTTGCAAAATCCCCCAAAATCACAACATCAAATAATAATGTATGGTCTCAAAATGTATAATCGAATGAATAAAATATAATTTTGATAACAGAATTTTACAAGTTTGATTCTTATATTCAAATCTTAGTCTTTCTTTTAAATATTGTATACTGCACCAATGAGTTAAATTCGTACAGATTTCATAAGTTTGATTTTTATCGATACATTTGATACTACTTTATTAAAGATATACAATGAAAAAAGTACAAATTACAATGCACGAAGTAATATGCTAATTGTTTTTAAAAAAAAAAAGTAATATGCTAAGATTTTGGTAGTTTGGATTTTGGAACTCAATTATTGGAAAGAGGTAGTTGACGTGGGTAGTTTCAAGAAATTAATTCTGGGACAGATTTTGGACTGTTTTTCTTTTTCTTTTTCCCTGAACAGTACGTCAGACAGGGCTCAGAATAATGTACTGAATTCTGAAACATTGACAAAATAAACTTTTTTTTTTTTACTTGTATCTACTTTGTTTGTTTGTTTGTTTTTTTTTTTTTTTCTTTTTTTTTTCTTTTTTTTCCATAAAATTTAAATATTTAAAAATTGTATTTAAAATATTATTAAATACAAAAATTAAATTTAAAATAATTAAGAAGTACTTTTAAAAAATAAAGGAGATAGAGTTAATTTAGCTATAAATAGTAAACAATTTAGGTAAAATGGAATAAACAAAGTAAAATTTAGGTGTAAAAATATTAGGTATTTGGTTTTTATTTTGAGTAATAATTAATTTAGCAAGTAGAATGTGACTATGTGAGACAGGGAAAAAGTGAAGGGGGCATGGGGAAGGAGTAGTTGAGATTGATGGAGAACATTTATGGATGGCCAGCTGGTTAAAAACAATGGGAAAATGATATATGTACTGCCATTGAGTATAACTTTCGTCATGTGTATAAATTTTGTTGAGTAAATTAAGGTAAATGAATAAAAAGAGTGGTCCACTTTGTTATTTAAATCAATCAAAGGATAACACCTCATTATGGAGTAAAAAATGAAATAGAAAGTGAAAGAACATGTAGTATTACACTATTATTCAAAACCATGGGGTTGACTGGGTCTTCTATCCGGGATGCTTCTGCAGTTCTACACATATTTTTACACCAGAGCGATATTTATTTATTATATACTTTCAAATAATAGTTATCGATTTTTTTGTTACTTTAAAAAAGTACTCAACTTATATTTATACGACTCGAATTTTTTCATTTAAAATTATTTGTTTTTTTGTGTAGTATTTAATTGTTTATTTGATTTGAAGTTTCTTGCCACTGTCAAACTCAAATGAGTTAAAATAGTGGGGAGGAAGTGAGAATCCCAAAATTAAAAATTAAAAAAAAAATGGAATGTGACACTTACTACGTTATTTAAAAAATTTGGTGTATTCTAAGTTTGGATTCAGCCCAGCAAAAGATCCGTTTCGAATTTTGAAATTATGATAATGACATTTGTCAATTCTGTCATTTTAAACAATTAAATAACACAAATATTTTGACCATAATACATGGACTCAATGAGAGGAATGAGTCACTCAAATATAAAGTGGTCGAATAGAAAATGAGTAAGTTTTCAAAAAAAAAAAAAAAGTAAAAATAAGGGTTTTTCTACTAATATTTGAATTAATTTATATATTTTGGACTAGATACGTGTTTAAATAATGTATGTCAAACATGCAACGACAATGGTACTACCTTTGGGGCACACTAAGGAACTGTTGTGGATAATGTTATGAGGTGTTGTTAAAAAAGGTTGCGCTAGCTTTGGGGAAGCAAGTGTCATTAGTTATCATTTTCAGATTGTTTTTATGTAATGGTGGTTACCAATGACCACTAATTGCTTTGAAACAAAATGAATAATGAGTAGGCAGAGCATGACTCTTATAGTTAAATGTTACAAATTGAACTATTGTCAACACTACTTTATTGGTCGTACATGTTGCATAGGGTAACTCTATTGTGGTTTACCTCTCAAACTCGTATGTATAGTTTATGAGTTATTACATGAATATGTTTATTCATTGTACACTCTCGAGTAGTGGCTAAGCTTTTTGAATACATTTATTAACTTGGAGAATGAAAATTGAAGTAAACGTAATCTTCATTTTTATTTAAAAAAAATGAAAATATGTTTATTTATACATTTTTTAAGAAAATTTGGAGAAGTTTGTTTTTTTTTTTTAAATAAATAAATAAATAAATAAATAAGAAAGAAAAACATTTATACATTTGTGAACAGTAGAATCTTGGGTTAGATGGGCTCATGGGCCACTGGTCCAATAAAGTTGGCTGAATGGGCAAATTTTCAATTCAAAGTTATTGAATGACCACAAGACTAAGTATACAACGGTGGCAGTAGTTATATCGGCAAATTATTGTATGGAACATGGTCTACACAATGTTATCTGGACCATAATAAAAAGTACATTTTAAATGTACCAAAAGTACATTATTTTTGTACTGAATATACACTATACAATATAATGTACACTCAGAACAAAAATAATGTACATCCCCTGTATATAATGTACATTATCTTTGTACTGAATATACATTATTTTTGTACTAAATGTACATTATTTTACAGTAGACAAAATATGGTCCACACAACTTGTGTGAACCATGGTCCACACAATAATGATTGAGTTATATCCTACACCACGGCGCGCGTTGCACTATGCGCCCAGATGTAAAACGACGTCGTTTTAATTATTATTTTTTTTGAAATTTCCCGCCCCAGTGAATGGCAATAGTTTTTTCTTTAAAAAAAAACCCGCTGTTCAAGAATGTACATAATGTTATACTAGAATACACATAATGTTATACATGAATGTACATAATTATATAACAAAATATACATACTCTTTTTAAAAGATAATACACATAATCTAACATAATACATAATAAACATAAACTTTTAACATAATACACATCAACTCTTAACATAATACACACAAATTTTCTGATTCGGATGTACATAATTGTATAACAAGAATGTACATAATTGTATAAAAAATACACATAACTATATGAACCAATACACATAACGTTGTGAACAAATACACATAACGTTGTGAACAAATACACAATCTCAGCAACTTCCTACCGCGCCTCCCAACACTACCCCAAAACGACATCGTTTTGGGAGGCGCGCGGCGGACAGTGCTATGTGCGCCGTGGTGTAGGATATAACGATTGTACAACGGTTAACACTCGTATAGTTAAGTGACAGTCAAGCTTCTTGTTTGAGAAAGAAATCTTTCTATAGAAATTTACTTGCAGGTTTTTGGATATGCTAAAATAGATTTGGTGGTGCCTATATGGTTTTATAGATAGTTGGCTTGGGCAAATTTTGCATCCATTATATTGCAATATTAAAATAATAAGTCTGATTGATTCATAAAAAATATTTAAAGGGAAATGAAATTGAAATGTCATGGAAAAGAAATCAAGGAAATTGATTCTATTATTTGGTTTGTGAAATTTTTTTTTACAAAGAATATTGATTTCATTATTTGGTTGAATTGGAATGATAAGAAATAATGAATATAAAGACTATAATGTCCTTACATAATGATAATGATAGTAAAAGTAATAAGGGAAAAATTGTGTGATACTTTCTTCCTAACTTCTATGGAAAACAAAATATCACCTCTCCCCTAGAAAATATTTTCATGTGAAAAAAGTTTTCCATTAACCAAACGGAAGAAAATCCAATTTTCCTCAAATTTAATGAAAACTTTTTTCATCCAACCAAACATGCTCTAAATAGTTTGGAAATCCTGATAAATTGCATCTAAAAACGCATAACCGAATTTTGATAGCATTGGTAGAGTGGGTGACTCTTTGTGAACACCGAATACTAGTCTTCCTACTTCCACAATTCTTAAAGACCCTGAGGTAAAAGATTTCGCCTTTTGCATCCGAAAAATAGTTTGATAATCATGGTTTAAGTGTCTAGGTAAGAATGGCAACAGGATGAGGCAAGGTGGGAGGGGAATCTCCATTCCAGCTTCTGATCAGAAGAAAAGAATAAACCAAACATGTACTAAAAAGCTAAATCTGCAATACCCAAATTCAAAAGTAATTCATACTTTTCATATTTCTCTTTCAATTTAACAAGGGACAGCCACCCTGAAAGGCTTCTGGAAAAACTGGAAACAATTAACACAGCCGGGAAATCCTTTCTAACTGTTATGTACAATGAGCTTATGAGCTCAGGCTGGAAAAAAAGTAAGGCATGGAATCTCCAGATAGATCGATTATGGTTGATCATATACTGAACCTGAATCTCACACAAACTGCTGACACAGGACCTGATAATCATCTTCATCGTGATGTTTGAGCTACTTAGAACTTGTCTGTGATCATCGTACATGTGATGTACTTGAGCTGGGATTCGGGATGATATTGGTTAAAGGAGAGTATTGTTGATGGGGTGGCCAAGGAATGCGCTCCGGTGGACAAGGCACGGGAGCTGGATGGGCAATAAAAGTCGGCATTTCTTCCCCGGGCATCAAGACTGAATATTCCTGGGCGCTAGCTGAAATCTGTAACATCAAAGTTGCGTGATTTATATCCAAGTTCAAGTATCCAGGCAAGAAAACAAGAGTATAGCAAACCGGGGTCAGCTAAAACTTGCTGCTATACTAAAATCACATGTATGTATGTATGTATGTATGTATGTATGTCTTGAGACAGTGACAACCGACAATGTAAATTCATGGATGATGATGCATGCGGGGAAAAATGAGCTGGTGATACTAAGTCGAGTTGGTGACAATACATTTCTTGTATGTTTCAAAAGGCACTTTATCCCCAGTGTTGTACTTCTAACCATAAAGAGAAGACATGAAGATTCAATAATTGTAGGCCCGCCTTTGTCTCCACCATTGAGCATATACATACATTTTCGTATTACAACACAATATCATTAAAATTACCGTGATTATCAATACTGCTTACCTTCTACTCTTCAAGATTGTTAAAGACATGAATATATAATGTCCACTCCGATCATTAAATGCTATATATTCAAATGGTAACAAATCACACAAGATATGGCCTTGTCGTAGACATGAACATAGGCTAGTAAGAAACCAAAAATTTATGTTTCATAGTATGCTCTTTTCATGGTGTTTAAGGTTTGAGTGAACTAAAACCAGAAGATTTCGATTAACTGCAAGAAAATTTGCCTTGTTAGTATTGGCATTCAAAGTGGCCTGCTATTTTAAGTCATGGCTTCTAACCCTCAACGAATATAATTTTCTAGGTTGATCCAAAGACTGACTTTGTAGATTAGGAGTAAAAGGAGATAACGTGCCTTATCCACTTAAAGCATATTGAAATACAAAAGACCAATAAACAAAAATATTAAAAGAAGAGGCACTGGGCAGGCAAGGTAGGCAGGCAAATTGAGAGTTGGTCGATATTTTTTAATGGTTATGTCAGCAATAGGAAACTAGTAGTCAATTCGACGGGTCATTAAAGCTGGAAAGAAGACAATAAACTAACCCAGCAAACAAAGATAATTCAAGGAAGGCAGCCTGTCTCCAACACCAGGGCTAGCCAATGAAGACATCATTAAGGTTGGTGGTGATGGGCCTAATGGAGATCACGTTCACCGGTGGGGCACCCAGACTAAGCCCCCCCTACATACATATAAGAAATACAAGCCTGCCAATACTCGATCCCAGCCCCAGATCTCATTAATTGGAGTTGATCAAATTGGATGAGTCCTTAATGGTGGGGCTAGTGTCAAATATTAAAGAAAAAGATGTTTTCCCAGTGTGTGAAAAGCTGAGAAACATGCACATGCAGGATTTTACTTGGAAGACATTTCTTTTTCTTCCAAGGAGTCAATTCAGAGATAAGCTAAAATATTCGATACTATATAGTTTTATCCTGCCCAGTTTTGCCTAGATGTAAAGGGTTACTAGGTATGATATGATATGTCATATGTATTATATATTTATATGTCTGCCTTGTCTGCAAAAGTTATATGGGCTATCCTCACACTCATGTTGCACTACTGGCATTACTTCCTTTGATTCGCTTAAATCATCTCAGCCACCCCCTAGCAGACAGCACATATTCAGAAAGCACAACCTCAGCTCATTCAGATACAAATATTTAATTTCCATTTTCTACTCTCCTTCTGAACAGGTGCCTGAGTAAAGAACAAAAGTTGGGGGGACCAAATTCACAACTGGAAATACCTCATACCACATTCATAACCCTCACTGATCTACTGAAAACTTGATAAGTTTATTCATTTCTATGGTGTTCTGATCTTTGGTCAGCAAGAACATCATAAGAAACTCTAAAAAAGTTGTTACTTTGGGGGCAACCCAACCAAGTTGGTTAGATCGTTGGCTTGGTAACCACAACGTTTTAAGTTCGACTCCCAATTTTTCTTGGTTTGAGCCAGTCAGTTATAAACAACCTAAGCTAGTATAACTACTTGTGATCCTTTATTAGCCAGAGTCACAAGGCAAGGTTTACGGGTGCTTTTGGTAGCGGTTGGAAAAAAATTGTTACTTTTTGATGAGACTAGCACATACACACACAAAAGAGAGAATTTTTATTCTGGAATAAGCAAAAGGAAGAAAGAATTAAACAAGTAAATGCTCTGTAGATCTAACTCCATTGAGGCAAAATCAAGAAAGAAGTGAAATATTGGCCTTAGGCCAAAAATTGGTAAGAATATCCTGTTAGAGACAGGAGAAAGACAATGAGACCACAGAAGCAGAAGAATAGGGAAATGTCACCTAGGGGGACTTGAATTACTGCATATAAAATCATTGGACTGAATTTAATAATAATATTCACTGTGTTCCTAGGCAAGGGCACAAACAGCGGAGAAAATTGGCAAGAAACTGAGTCAATAAACAACAATAGTTTAAAACACCACCCAACATTTTGCTCCAAAACTAGAAAATTAAGATTAGTTGAACATCATAATTCATAAACAAACAAAAAAAATTGTTTAAAGATGCTTACTTTAGGTGTGGGATGGAGGACTTTGGGATTGAAGCCCATCTGGGACTCAACCTGACCCAAACTCCGGCCACCGGACGGGGTCAACGCCGGGGAGGTGGGTCTAAGGAGCCGCTCAAAAATGGCCATGACAAGGAACATGGAGACGAGAATGGCGGTGGCAACAAACCCAAAGGAGACAGCATTGACTGAATTGTCAAAGTGCGTCCAGTGGTCATCCTTAGCCGCCGCCGCCGCATACATTGGCGAACCGGTCGGCGGCGGCGGCCACACTCCCTGATTTTCTCCCATGATATACATGCGCAAGCTTTTCGATCTCCAAGAAAAATGGTACTAGAATTTCACTGCTATCTTTCAAGAAAAAGCAAACCCAGAATGAGATTGGAGAAGAAACACAGCTATGTTAGCTTGAGACCCATGTCATGAAACAATTTGATGACATTTGCAGCAGCAGTGGTATTAAACTAGTACTTAAAGACAAGAGTGAGAGGGGTAGGAGTGAAGGGGGTATAGTAGAGAGATTGAAGGAGAGAAATGGGTTGGGTTGCGGATAGAGCTGAGCTCAGATTCCTCTGAATGCCTGTGAAGAAGACTGGAGACTGGAGAGTCTTCTGCCCAGAGGAAGGGTTGTCCTTTTAATACAAGTTGGGAATATCAAAATTTTACAACAGGCAATAATACATTATACATTCGTGTTATCTGTTGCCTGTTGGGACTTGGGAGGACTTTGCACGTCTTATAAATCTTTTAAATTTCATAAGTTTCTACTTGCATTTGCGTGTCTCTGAATTACTGTGATTTATAAATTTATATCCTTCTAATATTCCATCAGACCAGCTCATATTCAACTAAAAGCAACACCACGTGAACGGTAGTCGCTAGCAATTCGAACCCATAACCTGCTCTGATACCAAATTGAAGCATGTGCTCCAACTCAACTAAAAGTCTAAGCTGATAGTTAGATTGCACGTTAATGGCTATATGCTCAACAGTAAATGACTAACTTTTTTTTTTCTTTATCGTTAATATAATTAAAATTGAAATCTTTATTTTTTTTCAATATTTAGTATGATTCGAATCTTGTACTCTACAATTGTTAGTAAGATTAAACAAAATTTGAATTGATTGATTCAAAATTAGATCTTAAATTTCATGTGATCATTATTTGCTTGCCATCGTTGTTTAGCATGAAGGTAATAGAGTAATTTTGTTGATACATCTCAAAAAATGGGAGTGTTAATAGCGTGAGCAAATACATTTCAGTTTATACAAAAGCACACTACTCCGTATATGTTATATCTTACTTGTCTTATTTATTATTTACATCTCAAACTAATATCCACAACATCTCAAACTAATATCCACAATCAGGTGTGCTGGGATAAACACTATTTGATGAGGTAAATAACATAATAGGACATGTGTTCATATTACCGCACTAGAAAAACTCTTGTGTGATGAGCTCAATCACCCCTTTATGCATGGAGCATATTTTTACTTTTGACATGATAACAAGTGGTATCAAAATTTTTCCTTATAACCTAGTGTGATTATTTTGTATACCCTTTTTTCTTTTTACAAAATGGATATATATATATATATATATATATATATATATATATATATATATATATATATATATATATATATATATATATATATATATATATATATATAAAAGAGCCAATACCCAAAATAGTCCCTTAAGTATAGCTAAATTCACAAATTGGTCCCCGACTTTCAATTTTAACCAATTAAGTCCTTAACTTTGCAATTTTAACACGATTTGGTCATCCGTCTATTTGACCGTTTGTTGACCGTGATCTTTGAGGATATATATGTAATTTCATTGCCGCCCGCCCTCATCTGCTGCCGTGACACAGTCTATCACCCATGTAACACCCTACTTTTCTTAACTCTTCGCTCATGTACGAACTCAACTACATTGAATCCGAAGAGGGGATGAAGAAAAACGACAGGATTTGGCAGATTGCTTTCGGCAATGGATTCAAATGTAATAGTGCGGTCTGAAAATGCAACCGGAACCTTAAAAAACCTACCATGGACCATGAAATTACATATATATTCTAAAAAATCACAGTTAACAAACAGTCAACTAGACTGAGGACCAAATCGTGTTAAAATTGCAAAGTTAAGGATTTAATTGGTTAAAATTAAAAGTCGAAGACCAATTTGTGAATTTAGCTATAGTCGATGGACCATTTTGGGTATTTACTCTATATATAACCATGTTTAAGTAAAAAAGATAGTAAATTGCCAACTACCATATAATGTGATGGCATTCCGGTTACCATTCTAAATTGATAAAATCATTAAAGCCATTTTGATAATTTACTCAAAAAAAAAAAATTTTGAATTACAAGAGCATCCCGGTTGAGTTCTTAACTATTGAATCAGTGTCCATTCACTATATCAATCGATTAGTGAATAAGTTAGTTCACGTGTTAGCCTGAGCTGCTAGTTCTTATAGTATTCCTACTTGTATTGAATATTTAGAGGGGTGTATTCAATCATGACTTTTGTAGAGTTTTAAAGACTTTTAAAATGATAGATTTTAATAAACTTTTATTGACTTTCATATAGTCGTTCAAAACTTTTTAAAACTTTATAAGATTCTATAAAAGTCTATATAAAAAACATCCACAGACTTTTATCAACTTTTTATTTTAAAAAGTCTACAAAAGTCATTGAAATTCTAAATTGAATACATCCTTACAAACTTTCAATTATTTTGATTCTTATCATTTACAATTTTCTTACAAAACATTTATAATATATCATAAAATTCTTCTTATTATATAGTTCTTCACCCACATCAACATTATATTCTCAACATTATTATTTTTATCCCTAGTATGCTAATTACTTATATATATATATATATATATATATATATATATATATATATATATATATATATATATATATATATATATATATATATATATATATATATATATATATATATATATATATATATATATATATATATATATATTATTAACAAACATCAACAAAAAAAAAACATTATAAATTCATAACAATATTGAAGAATAAAATTTATAATAAAAGACTTGATCAAATAAAATATTTAAAAATATAATTATAGGTTGCATAAAATAGAAAAATAAAAATCTAATATTAATAATATATATAAAATTATATTTGATATATTGCTAGGCATCACGTAAAAAATTATTATTTGCAATAGCAATTTGAGACTGCAAACAACAACAAGGTGCCACTGTTTGCAACCTCAAATTGTTGTTGCGAACAATAATTCGCTATTCGTAGTAACTTGTTAAAAAATGAAAAATATATATTACGAATATAAACATAAAAATAATAAAAATTAAAATATATAAGTATTTATATGAATATTATGAAACATATACTAAAATTTGACGATGAAAAATTTGCTTTGTTCATGTATTTAGGGAGAATTAGAGAAAGTTAGGGATAAAAAATTCATAGAAAAAAAAAAATCAATATAAACAAGCAATAATGAAGTAAAATAATATTATTTCAAATTTTTAGATGAAGGTTCTAAAGTTTAGAAGAGAGAGAAAATTGGTAGAGTTTATGTACGAGAAAAATATAGAATAATGAAGAAAAAAATAATTTTATTGAATTTAGATAGGTTTATAGAGTTTAAATAGGGAGAAAAAAAAAGAGTTTAAATAGAGAGAGAAAACATTCAAAGTTGTTAGAAAGAAAATTTGAAATCTTGGGGTTGCTGGTTGGATTTCAACTATTCATATTTGAGAATGAAAAGTCTACAAAAGTCTTAAAATTAAAAAGTCTACAAAAGTTCATCACTTTTTGAATACCACATGACTTTTAAAGACTCTTTAAAAGTCTTAATTGAATACCACATGATTTTTAAAGACTCTTTAAAAATCTTGATTGAATACCGTCTGACTTTTAAAGACTCTCTAAAAGTTTGAATTGAATACCTCCAAACTTCTAAAGTTCATAAAAGTCTTTAAAACTCTATGAAAGTCATGATTGAATACACCCCCTTATTCTCTTAAGTTAAATGAATCTTTTCATTTTTTTAAAAAAAAAAATTGGGGTAAAAATAGATAGGGATATAGGTATGTAGGGCTTGGCAGTAGAAAACATTGGAGAGGCCCATAACGTAAACAAATGCAGGCTTGCACTTTATATCATGCTACTTATGAGATGGGTCCTGTCTGCTCAATTGCTCTCCTTTTCTCCTTCATTTGGGGCCCCGACCCAATACTCCTACACTCTTAAATTATATCCCCATTCCCCCTATAAAGCCTAAAGGGATGGATTGGTGCTTCGAGAGGGGTGACCGAATGGACGGGGCAATACCTTCCTATTATATAGGATGTACCTTTAAGTGTTCTTTGATTATTATTATCACCAATACCATAACGTTTTGTTATAAATACCTATTAGTTGTCATTTTCACTCTTTTTATATGTATACACACACAATTACTTCGTCCTTAGTAAAGGGATTTGCAATTCACTAGAAATGTTAAATTTTAATTAATGCAAGCATGAAAAGAGGGGGCATTATTGTACGAGTAGTAAGTGAAGTTTGGTGGAGACAGAACAAAATGACTCAAGTCGTACCTCATCAACCCGATCTTTTGTTAAGTACTTTTGAATCGGACTGTTCATACGCTAACTCGAGTCGGTTTATAGGCTAGATTGTACATAGTACTTTTTCCCACCATACTATCTCTTTGTAATGTTTTATAGGATGATTTTAATAAAATTATGAGTTGGTTATGCTTTAAAAAAAAAAAAAAAAAAAAAAAAAAAAAAAAAAGTGGCTAGTGTCCAAGACTGGAGCTTCAGTATTGCCCACAATTTTATGATGAAAACGATATCATCGTCTCAAGAAATGTGTGTTGGGTCCGTTCTTGTCCTAACCCAAACCTAATTTTGATCATTTCTTGAATCTTTTCACTTCTATAGAGTAGTACATATGTAGTCTACCTAATGAACTCAACTCGGGTAATAGGGTTTCAAGATCATCCACTTAACACTCATGTGTTAGTATGATTATATGGGTCAATGGAATAAGAAGCTGGCAATTTATATCATGGACTCTAAATTGAAATGACGAGATCATATACAGATTTCATACTCATAAAATACAGAATTTTATAATACAAAACACAAAAAATCACAACACAAGACAAATAGCTAACATTATGTTCCTTGGATTGACACGACGAGGTACAAAATTCATACTCGTAAGGTACAGAATTTCCTAACACAAGACACAGACATATTATATATTTACTTATTTTTCATATCTGATTTAGGTATATAAATTGTGTGCATAGATACAAAATTTCACACCACAAGACACATAAATTCATAACATAAGATTATAAGGTACAATTACTAATTTGTTCCTAGTACAAAATCTATACTCTTAATATACAGAATTTCATAACACAAGACACAAAAATCATAACACAAAACACATACACATGAACTAGAATCCACAGTGTAGTGTGAACCCTAGTTCATGGTATAAGGATTGTAAGAAGCTAGTCATCATTTATCATGTTTTATATGTAAAAAAGTAAATATCAATTTTCTTTTTTTAAAAAAGTAGGTGTATGGGCTGGTGGAACAAAAGATGAACTTTCTCTAATTTTCCCA